AGCTCATGCTGCATTGCGGTGTGCATGAGGCTAACCGAGAGTCCCGTTGTACCAACCTGCCATATATGGTTCAATCATGTGCTGCTTCGTTCATGCAGATGAATGCACATGACTGTGACTAGCTCATGCTGCATTGCGGTGTGCATGAGGCTAACCGAGACTACTCCTGCACTTTTCATCCATCCCCTGTGAGCAGAAACCTCTCTGCTAATGATCTCAGCGGGGAGATTCCAGCTGAAATTGGAGGTCTCACCTCATTACAGTACTTGTAAGCAGGCTTGAGCAAAGTACCACACCTGAATCGAACTTGTAATAGGCTGGAGCATGTATCAGACCCGAACCTGTAAGTAGGCTTTAGCAAGTACCAAAACTGAACCGAACTCGTAAGTAGCCTTGAGCAAGTAGCAAAATCGAAATGAAGTTGTAAGTAGGTTTGAGCAAGGACCAAACCTGAACCGAACTTGTAAGTAGGCTTGAGCAAACACCAAACTCAGACCAAACTTGTAATAGGCTGGAGCAAGTACCAGACCTGAACCGAACTTGGAACTTGTAAGTAGGCTTGAGAAAGTACCAAACCCGAAACGAACGCGTAAAAAGGCTTGAGCAAAGTACCAAAACCGAACCAAACTTTTGTATAGGTTTGAGCAAGTACCAAACCTGAACTGAACTTCCTTGAGCAAGTACCAAAACCGTAACGAACTTGTAAGCAGTATGAGATATGCTCATCAGATGCTGTAATGAACATGGTTGGCCCTGACAGAGGACTCTTGCGGGATTAGCAATGTCTTTTGCTGCAGCTTTCGAAGAAATGTATGCGCAGACGTGCCCATGGTTTCCGCCTTTTCATCTCCCATTCTCACTGCAGCGACATCTCTGGCACCAACCTCGTATGCCCACCTGATTACTCTGCCTGTGGCACAACACAATCTCCTAACACATCCTTTTGTGGCACGTGTGAATCCTTCTGCAAGACTTGCAAGCAATCTGCAGGCAAGTGAATAAACATCACCAAACTATGGCAAAAGACATTTCGGAGTCCAGAGTGTTGGTACAGCAAGCAACACATGGCACAAGACATGGCAATGCATGGCACAAGGCATGGCAATACATGCAGTCATGTCACAATGCATGGCACAATGCATGGCTGATTATTTTGAAAGCACCTCACTTGCTTTGGACGATCAGGGGGGTGCGTTGAAACATGGTATAGTTATCTTCTTATTAAGATCATGCGAAATTACGACCAATCTGGATTTCTTTTATAGTTCCATTGCAAGTGGAGTATCACCCTTCTGATCGTTTTTATTGCAACCCTGCCTGCTTGGCTGAACGTTCAATGCTCACACGTCAAGATGTCCTCTTGATAGCCCTATCAATGATCAGCTTCCTGCTATCCCCACCGCGAGTCTTTCTCAGCAGGTGGAGTGTCAGTGGGAGTCATCATTGGCATTGTTGTTGCTGCTGTGGTCACTCTCCTGCTTCTGGCCACCACTCTGCTTTACTTCAGGCACAAGATAAAGCTGAGGCAAAAAGGTAGGGAGACACAGCAACCAGAGGAGTTAAATTTGAATAACCAGACTCTGTCGATGCAGTTGTGTGTGGCTGTTTGCAATCATGGCGATAAGATTTCCATTGCATGAACTCAGACATGTGCAGGCAAGTCTGCAAGTGTAATCATGCTTGACAGTACAAAGTCCAGCCAAAATCGAGTTCTCACATCTCTTGCCTTGAAATGAGTGAGATTGACTCAATCTCTTCCCACAAGCGCACTCCAGTCCCAATCTTACAGGCCTGTATGCCTCCTTCACTTGTGGATGTACTCTAGCTGGCCGAAACCTGGGCTACACAATTTTGGAACTTATGTGCGACAAGGTGTTGAGGCAGTAGATGGTCTTACTCTAAGATTTCAGGTTTGCAACTGCGAAAAAAACTTAGGGGCCCTCAGAGCCCTCCTCTGTATAATCTCCTGTGAACTGACCAGCACGCCATGAATCAATTCCCTAGAAGAATTTTGGGCCAATTCAGGGGACTCGACTCGGCACATGGTTTGACCGAGGCCGACCGCACTCGACCTGACTCGACTCCACTCAACTCGTGCTCAGGCATTTTCCCCGGCACCCATGCATCTCCTTTCACATATGACACCACGAGCAGGCTCGGGGAGCAGCCTGGCAGCCTCGCACTGCACTGAATTCTCACTAGCAGATGTTCTCAAGGCCACCAATAACTGGTCCGAGGACAACCAGCTGGGTGCGGGTGCCTTTGGCGATGTGTACAAGGGCGTGTCTCCCCGCGATGGCACCACCTTGTGGGCTGTCAAGCGTGCCAAGCTGATCGACGTTGAGTTTCAGAAGGAGGTCAGTGAGCTGCAGTCATGCAAATTGCATATTTTAGTAACATGGTATCTAGTGAGCCATGGTGAACCATGGTGAGCCGTGATGAGATGGCATGTGTCATTGACGTCATTTTCAAATCCACGTCGAGATTTAATTAACCGCCTCAAAATGCTTCATTGCTATAGTGTCTTTGCTGTTCAACTATTTTGTACTGTGTCTTCAATGCTAGTAAATTAAGACATTCAGTTTTTTTTCTCCCCTTTGAATTGTCACGCCTTGACTGTTTGTTGTGTTCACTGCTTCTCAATCTGTTCCTTCATCCTTGCTTAATACTTTTACTTTTCCCGTGACTGTGAGGATCAGATCCAGCAGATGGCTGACAAGAACCATCCCAACGTTGTGAAACTTCTTGGCTTTGCAATCGGTGGAGACTTGAGGACTCGGCCTGAGCAAGTCCTCATCTATGAATACGTGCCCAATGGCGACCTTCACAAATGGATTGGCCCGAGTATGTGTGCTGCTCCTCTAGTGTGTTTTCTGTTGTGCCACTCATGCTCCGTCACTCATCCTCTCCCATTCATGCTCTGTCACCCATCCCCTACCACTCGTCCTCTTCCACTCGTCCTCTGCCACTCATCCTCTGCCACTCATCCTCTGCCACTCATCTGACGTGCCACTCATGCTGCCACTTGTTTCTTGCAGAGACAGAACGCCCTCTGACTCTGAAGCAGCGGCTGGACATTCTCATCGGCATGGCGCGGGGCTTCGAGTACCTCCACGGCTTTGGCATCGTGCATCGCGACATCAAGCCTGCCAACGTCCTCATCACTGACAGCATGCAGGCAAGCTTGGTTGCGCTGGATCACTAGGTGACAGAATAATTTCCGTTTAGCGGAGGCGAAGTTGTTTCAATGCAACTATGGCTGGTTCTTTTCATAACCACTTTGTGTTTCTTACAGCAACCATTTCTCCAACCTCACTCACAAACCCTTGTTATTGGAATCCGTGCTCTGTTGTGGATGGCGCCACAAGCGACCAAGTATGCACTGTGATTAATCCCTCATGCTACAATGCCACTCATCTGAGTCACCAGGCAAAGATTGCGGACTTTGGGCTGCTGAGGATGGGGGAGGGCACAACTGTGAACACGACGCGCATCATGGGCACACCGGGCTATGTGGATCCGGTCTACTCCATCACCTCCAAGGCCACTGCTGCCAGCGATGTGTACAGGTGGGCCAGTGAGGTGTAGAGGTGAAACAGTGATGCGTATTAAAGTCCTAGCTGGAAGTGCATAGTATTCAATAATGGAGAAACTAGAAATGCATTGTAGGAGTCAGCACCCATTAAGACCCGCCCCAAATACTATGTGTGTATAATATAGGTACCTGTGCATGCTGCGGTCAGGTAATAAAAAACTCATCTGCCTCACCCCTCTTCTCTTCCTCTGCCATGTTGTGCCTTGAACATTCTGCGCCTTTGAACATTCTGCGCCTTTGAACATTTGCGCTTCTTTTTCAGCTTTGGAGTGCTCATGCTGGTGGTCCTCACGGGACGGGAGCCACTCTCGGAAACTGCTGGAGAGAGCTGGAAGATCACTCCGTGGGTAAGTACCTAACCCATGGGACCACCTCGTATGTAATTACCTCGACCCATGAAACCACCCCGTGGGTAAGTACCCCATTCCGTGGGCCACCCCCATTCCATGGGTAAGCATTTCATTCAAGTGAACCGTCTGGCTCTTTTCATGTCCAATGGGACCATATTGATATCATCCTCTCACTAGCAGTAAGGGACCACCTCCCTCCACTACCCAATGTGTGGTTGTGGTATTTCCTAAATTTCCTCGTCCAGTTCACACTAGTGGTCCTCACAGGAACTTAGATCACTCTGTGGGTGAGCACCACCTGCCGGTACTTTCAAAGACTCAAATAGCATATTCCCCAAAGGAAATCCGTCCAGCTTCTTGAATACCATATGTGACCCCTCCCAACCCCTCCAGCTCCTCCACCTTCAACACTCCCTCCACACCCACCAAAACCTCCACCTTCCCCAAACCCTCCACCCTCCCCGAACCCTCCAACCTCTCCCACGCTCTATCTTCTTAACTCCCTCAGGCAGCGGAGTGCATATCCTCGAATGACGTGGGGAGCCTCATGGACCCCACCATGGACGCCCCTGCTGAAGCTGTGCTGCGTGTGGCTCAGATCGCCCTCGCCTGCACTGGAGAGCGCACTGCAGACCGCCCAAGCATGCTGCAGGTTGCCAACGAGCTCCAGGCCATCCGGGAGGCGGTGGGGGGGAAAGAGGTGTTGGGTGCGGCTGTCAAGGTGGATGCGCAGGTGCAGGAGATGAAAGATGTTGTCGCGGGTGTCGCAAGCCTTGACACGGAAATTATGAAGATTGGAGAGCAGATTTCAGGATAAAAGGGTGATTTACCCTTATTACAATTACTATAAGGCTGGGTTTAATTATGCACCCGTTTTTTTTTCATAGGGTCTCTCAACTTCAGCATTACAATTACTGAGCTAAACGCTATCAATTCGGAAGAGAACGCCCCCTCTAGTGCACCCTGGTGTCTTCTTTGAAGGGTAACCCACTAGGCGTGTACAGTATATTCATACGAAAGCACGCAACTTTCACTACCAGTGTAAGTGCCACTTGTTAAAACTTTAACTCGTAACTTTCACCCAAGTTGTCTTCAATCATCTGAAGTTCGGTGTCGAGGCTGTTCAGGCCGACAACATCCTTCATCTCCTGCACCTGTGTATCCACCTTGACAGCCACGCTGAGCTCCTCTTTCCCCACCCACTCCTCCCGGATGGCCTGCAGCTCGTTGGCGACATGTGCCATGCTTGGGCGGGCTGCAGTGCGCTCCACGGTGCAGGAGAGGGCGAGCTGAGCCACACGCAGCACACCATCTGCAGGGGCGTCCATGGTGGGGTCTTTGAGGCTTCCCATGTCCCCCGAGGACAGGCACTCAGATGCCTGAGGGAGTGAATTGGGTAGAGGGTGTTGGAAAGGGATAAGATACGACAGGTCATTAACAAGGTGTGAAAATGATTTCAGAGCCTTTGCAACGAAGCCTGTTGGTGGTGCATACCCACGAAATGGTATGCCGTCCCTGTGAGGACCACTAGCAAAAACCGGACATGGTACGAAAACACCAAGCATTGGGTAGCGGAAGGGTCAATGACAATGGTCCCACAATCCAGGGGTAGGCGCTGGTCTTAGACAATGAGGTGCTTGCCCGCGGAGTGATCTGGCGACTCTCTCCATCAGTCTCCAAGAGTGGTGCCTGTCCTGTGAGGACCACCAGCATGAGCACTCCAAAGCTGAAAAGAAGGGTTCAGAGGCAGAGAACGTTCCGAGGCAGAGGATAATCGGAAACATGATGAAGACGAAAAAGAAGAGGCAGGGGCACTTTAGATGAGTCTTGCCAATTCACAGCAGCATACCCAGATTATGTACTACACACACATAATATTTGGCACTCGTCTCATCGGGTGCCAGCTCCTGCATTGCATCCAAGGATCCTTGCAATGATGTAAGGGTATTCTGCAATGCTTCTAGGGTCTCGTGCAATGCTTCTAAGGGTCTCCTGCAATGCTTCTAGGGTCTCCAGCAATGCTTCTCAAATAACTCCTGCTTCACTGGCCCACCTGTAGACATCACTGGTAAGTCTAAATGATTAACACCTGTAGACCTCATGGACTGCCCTATCTTTAGACATCACTGGCTGCAGTGTGGCTGATGTGATGGAAAAAAAAAGGATCCACATAGCCTGGTGTGCCCATGACATGCGACGTGCCAACGCTCTTTCAGATGTCTAAAAAATGCTCACCTGTAGACGCTGGTTACATGTGCACATTATTGCCTCACCAAGGGCTCCTACAATGATCACCTGTAGACACCACTGCCTCACCTGTATACACCACTGCCTGACCTGTACACACCACTGCTTCACCTGTACACACCAAATCCTCGCGTGTAAACACCGAAGCCTCACATCAGGCTTTTGCAATTATGCACATTATTGCCTCACCAAGGGCTCCTACAATGATCACCTGTAGACACCACTGCCTCACCTGTGGACACCACTGCCTCACCTGTGGACACCACTGCCTCACCTGTACACACCACTGCCTCACATAAGGCCTTTGCAATGATCACCTGTAGACATCGCTGGCAGCGGTGGCCTTGGACGTGCGGGAGTAGGCCGGATCCACATAGCCCGGTGTGCCCATGATGCGCGTTGTGCCCACGGTTGTGCCCTCCCCCATCCTCACCAGCCCAAAGTCTGCAATCTTTGCCTGGTGATGCAGATGAGTGGCATTGTAGCATGAGGGATAGGGAATGGTGCATAAAACTGGACACTTGTGGCACTATCCATCAGACTTGTATGTGTAGCACGACCAAAATATATTATAAAGAAAACACAAATATGCTTTGATTAAGCAAAAAAAACATTCTCTCACAAAAAAGATCCACTCCAACCAAGCTTGCATGCATGCTGTCAGTGATGAGGACGTTGACAGGCTTGATGTCGCGATGCAGGATGCCAAATCTGTGGAGGTACTCAAAGCTCCGTGCCATACCGATGAAAATGTCCACCCACTGCTTCAGAGTTAGAGGGCGTTCTGCTTCTGCAAGGAATATGTGCCAGAGGATAATTGACACAGCAGATGAGTGGGAGAGGATGAGTGGAAGATCAAGAGTGGCCAAGGGCAGGCTACATCTGAAGAATGCGTGGCACATCATATGTGTGGCACAACGCATGATTGGCAAGAGTCAAGGTCACGCCACGATACAATTGACACAGCAAATGAGTGGCACAGAAAATGAGTGCCAGAGCATATGAGTGGCGCAGCATGAGTGGCAGAGCATGTGTGGAATAATATTGGAGAGGCATACGTACTTAGACCGATCCATTTGTTGAGATCACCGTTGGGCACGCATTCATAGATGAGAACTTGCTCTGGCTGTGTCCTCAAGTCTCCTCCGATCGCAAAGCCAAGGAGCTTCACAATGTTGGGATGGTTCTTGTCGGCCATTTGCTGGATCTAAGAGTCGCCAAGAGAGAAAAGGCGAGTAGCAAAGAAAAACAGATTGGAAAGGAGAGCTCCGAACAAATAGCAGAACAAGGTCGACGAATTGAGGAACTGGCTTGCAATTTCATGCCTGCAAAGGCTTGTGAGAAAAGGCTTTGTATGCGCCACCACGGCTCACTGACCTCCTTCTGAAAGCCCACGTCAATCAGCCTGGCGCGCTTCACAGCCCACACGGTGGTGCCATCGCGGGGAGACACGCCCTTGTACACATCGCCAAAGGCACCCGAGCCTAGCTGGTTGTCAGGGGACCAGTCATTGGTGGCCTTGAGGACTTCTGCAATAGCGAACTCGGTACAGTGTGAGGCTGCCAGGCTACTGGCCGGGCCTGCTTGTAGTGTCCGAGGTGAAAGGAGGAGCATGGGTGCAATGCAGAACGTGCTTAAGCAGGATTATCAAGTCGCCAGGTCGAGTTGAGTCTAGTTGAGTCGATTCAGCTTCAGTCAAAACATCATGTGCTGAGTAGAATCGGGTCAGACCCGTGACTTGCCCCAGCTTGCTTCGTGAATTGTCGTTGCGACCCAGCGTGTATGTGATTTCACCGGTCATAAAATTAACAACTCCATATGTACGCCCGGGTTATACAGAGCCCTGAGAGACTTTTGAGTCGACTCAAAAAGTCAACTCAGAGTCCTGAGAGACCCTAAGAATTCGCAGTTCCAATACTTGACTTCCTAAAACCATCTGTTGCCCCCTGAATTGTGTAGCCCAACTTTACGTCCCTTAGGGTGCATCCAATATTCAAGGCATACAGCAGCATGTAAGCTTGTGACAAAAGTCAAACTGCTTGTGGCGAGTCAATCTCGCTTTCAAGCCAAGCATTTTTCAGCAGCTGATCTTGGCTCGACTTCAGTTGAGTAGAGCATGACTAGGCTTGCACACTAGCATGCCCATGTCTAGGTACTTCCTATTTCTCAATATACCAACCCTTAAGTTTTTAGCAGGGGTGACATATGCTAGGTTTTCTAAACCTTATCCGCTAATGTTCTAGGCAAACCCGTGAGAAACAGCTGCAAAGGGACGCAAACAAGACCGAGATTTATGAGATGTTTGAATAATGAAGTAGCGGACGACATCTTGAGTGTGGGCTGGCCCTACAATGGTAAGCTTGTGGTTTCCGCTCAAACCTTCCATAAACTATGCTAAGCTGCCTTTCGCCGCATCCTTAGACTAGGCTAAATATGGAGTTTGTGTATGTGCAACCCTGTTTGACTACAGCAGAGGTTTGCTAAACACTGCAGGTGGTAGGTAGAGTATGCTCTAGGAAGGAAAACCAACTAAGTTCGAGCTAACATTTGAGCTCGATTCAAATGTCCTGTGGACCTAGTTGTTTTGGTCGTTGTCTTCACGTTTGTGTTCGTCGCAGACAAGGTCAAATTGAACAGTTGTTTGGCTGTCTTGCTCAAGCTTAGTGGGGATTGGGAGGGGAAGGTGATGTGAGCAAGGGATGTTATGTTAGAAGGTTGTGCGGAATCAATCTCGACCAGGGACGGGCTGTGCAAAATCAGATTCAGATGGGAAGCAAGGGATGTGTGAAATTGAATGCACCTATGACGAATGGTCACTCAAACCTGAGCATGTATGGATCTGGGTCAAACAACTATGTGTTCGCACCAAACTCAGTAGTGTTTGTTTGTGTAGTCGAAAACTTGAAACCTACTGTTGCAGAAAAAAAAGTTATACCCAGACCGAACTGGTTTGGTTTAGGCTATACAAACAGCTGAGTTAGTGTGCGACCAGCTACTTTAAGTTTGCCTTTTGCTCCTCCTGCTTCCCACCATGCTCGTCTCATCCCCCCTTTGGGAAAACCCTGTGCGCTTGTTGTCCTTCAATCCATGCCATCGATTCTCATTTGCTCACTTCTTCTGCCATGCATTTTTTGTGCACATGCAGGTCTCTTTCATACAGCGGTTTCATGGGATCCATTCCCACTGACATCTACGGGCTTCCTCAGCTGTTTTATCTGTATGAAGCACCTCGTTGAATGAGCCGATTTTTGAGTCGACTCAAGAATCGGCTCCATTCCCAGTGACATCTACAGGCTTCCGTAGCTCTTTTATCTGTATGAAGCACCTCGTTAAAGCCTGATACTAATCATGCATGATCAAAGATTGCATGAAGTTCAAAACCTGCTAGATAAAATCCTTAGATGCTACATCAATCAAGCCGGGAGATTTTTTTTTTTTTAGTAATCAAAAAGTATATGGGCACACCTGTGGCAGCCCAGGTAGGCTGAATATTTCGCAACTCCTATTCCTGGCACCCCAACGAGAACAACAGATTCGCCAAATTGGACCATGCACACTCTTGCCTACCTCCCACTGTGCTCGTCTTATCTGCCAATTGCGTCGACCGTATGTGCTTGCAGCCATTCAATCCACGTCTTCTAACCTCATCTCCTTACTTATTCCGCTCCAACCCATATCACGCTCACACAGGTCTCTTTCAAACACCGCTTTGACGGGATCCATTCCCAGTACCATTTACTGGCTTTCAGATCTCACGTATCTGTATGAAGCCCCTCCCTTGAGTCTGGTGCTTGCTAAGAATGCATGGTAAAACATCACATGACCTCAAAATCACTTGAGAGAATAACATTGGTCGTATAACCTAGATGCGACACGCAAACAAGAAAACAATAATTTTCACGTAATCGGAATGTATAAGGCTGAATATCTCGAAATCCTCCCTTTTTGGCCCTCCCCTCCCAGCCCGGATTTTACGAGAACCGCAAATTCGTCAAGCTTAGTGTGCGAGTCGAAACGATTTGGGCAGTGAGAGTCAAACATGAAATCGTTTGCCCCAAACCGGACCGCGATACGTTATTTACTAGTCTTTGCCCGAAGTAAATTAATAAATGTTTCAGTGAAATACGGTCCCTTTTGTTATGGTCGTATCTTACTTCCGTTAGAAACAAACAAAAAAGAAAGTTGTTATTTTGTTAGAGAACGATGACCACCAAAGCAAAGATGCTTTCAAACATAGACATGAATGGCAACATGCAATAACTAAATACAACAAGTTTCCATGATACCTATCTCTACGGTAAGTTCTAAAAAACAACAGCTATTCTTTTGACAGCTCTTTTCCATGCTGGCAAAAACCCGAAACCCTGGACTAATCCAGCAATTTGTAAATCTAACAGGTTGGCTAGATTCAAAAGCTGACGCGCTGATCTTTGACTACCACTCACATCTAACATTGGATGTGTGTTGATGTGAGTTTGAGACAAACTCGGAGATCTAGCACGTTGGCTAGATTCAAAAGCTGACGCACTGATCTTAGACTACCACTCACATCTGACATTGGATGTGTGCTCGTGTGAGTTCGAGACCAACTAGGAGATCTAGCAAATCGATTAGATTCAAAAGCTGACGCGCTGATCTTTGACTACCACTCACATCTGACATTAGATGTGTGCTGGTGTGAGTTCGAGACCAACTAGGAGATCTAGCAGATGGATTAGATTCAAAAGCTGATGCGCTGATCTTTGACTACCACTCACATCTTACATTGGATGTGTGCTGATGTGAGTTCGAGACCAACTAGGAGATCTAGCAGATGGATTAGATTCAAAAGCTGACGCGCTGATCTTTGACTACCACTCACATCTTACATTGGATGTGTGCTGATGTGAGTTCGAGACCAACTAGGAGATCTAGCAGATCGATTAGATTCAAAAGCTGACGCGCTGATCTTTGACTACCACTCACATCTGACATTCGATGTGTGCTGATGTGAGTTCGAGACCAACTAGGAGATCTAGCAGATCGATTAGATTCAAAAGCTGACGCGCTGATCTTTGACTACCACTCACATCTGACATTGGATGTGTGCTGATGTGAGTTCGAGACCAACTAGGAGATCTAGCAGATGGATTAGATTCAAAAGCTGACGCGCTGATCTTTGACTACCACTCACATCCGACATTGGATGTGTGCTGATGTGAGTTCGAGACCAACTAGGAGATCTAGCAGATGGATTAGATTCAAAAGCTGACGCGCTGATCTTTGACTACCACTCACATCTTACATTGGATGTGTGCTGATGTGAGTTCGAGACCAACTAGGAGATCTAGCAGATGGATTAGATTCAAAAGCTGACGCGCTGATCTTTGACTTGTCAAACATTATAAATGTTATGCTTGTGTAGGCTACAGTGGGTTAGCCTATAGGGGGTACACAATTCTAGGGTTTCCTACTTGTACTCATTTCACTGCTAGTTCATCCATTCCTGTTCGCTTATTCTCACATGGTATAGAGCGGGTCCTTCTACGGACCGTTTTTTTTGGGCCCACCGAAGCGCCCCCCGAGGCGCGATCTTTTTTTAGCGACCCCTCGGGTCGCCATTTCCCCTGCGGCCCCGCCGCCTTCACTGACGCGGCCCCGCCGCCCTCTCTGTCGCGGCCCCGCCGCCTGCTCTCACGCGGCCCCGCCCCGGCTTCTACGCGGCCCCGCCCCGGCTTTCACGCGGCCCCGCCGACGGCTTTGTCGCGGCCCCGCCCAGGCCCTTACGCGGCTCCGCCGCCTGCTCTCCCGCGGCCCCGCCCCGGCTCCTTCGCGGCCCCGCCGCCTGCTCTCGCCTGGCCGTCGGAGGCTCCACTGGGTGCCAAGAGGGAAAGTCCCTGTGAAGCCAGGTGGACGGCGCAGCCAGATCTCCTCGTGCAGGCTACCCTGCAGGAACGCAGTGCTGAAGTCAAGAGAGTGAAGCTCGTAGTCGCGCTGAGCGGCTATGTGCAGCAGCACCCGAAGAGTGGTCATCTTCGGGGTGGGAGAGAAGGTCTGAAAGTAGTCAACTCCCTGCCGCTGACTGAAGCCACGAGCAACGTACCGCGCCTTGAAGACAGCTGCTGAGCCCGGGGTTTCTCCTGCTGCTGCGTCTCGCCGGGAGCCCCTCTCTCCACAGGAGCTGCGCGAGTGGTTTGCTCGCCGCTGGAGGCGTGCTGC